AAGGGTTGTCCTTGAGATAGGGTCCCAGAAAAGGGAGCAGAATCTTTAAGGACTACCTGTAGTACCCATGGTGGGGAGTTCTTAAAGGTCATTTAGATGGAGGTTAGACTGATCCATGAATATCCACATCTACTGGGAGCAATTAGAGATGCCTTAGTACATTGCTGGCAAGCCAAGGAAAGGGTGTGCTAATGCTAAACAAGTCACTCCTGACCTAAAGAGACCAGTCTGTCTTAGAATAACCTCTTCTTTTCACCTAAATGAGTAACTTGTCACTGCAAGCAGTCTTTGAGGACAGAAGATATCGGAGATTATAAAGCATATGTTCAGATCTAATTTCCAGGGTAGCCAAGTATACGGAATTCACTGGAGACAGAATAGCCGCAGGGCTGGGTTACAGCAGGTGGTAGTGGACAGCAGGAGTCCTGGGTGGTGGATGGCATGTGAGATGCATTGGTAGGTAGGGCTTTGGCTGTCTCTGGTCTTCTTGCTCTGCTTTAGACATTGTTAGATTCCACATTAGCAGATAGGGCAGGATTGTTCTTTCTGAGGTATTAGATTTATGCAGGAGAGTGATGTAATCATCCAACATCTAATCTTTGGCTGGCATATCATTACCATATCAGTATGCTTTGTCTATTGAAAGAGACATGAAAAATGTATAGGTCTCATAAAATGGAAGTCGCGCAGTTGGACTGCCTTGGCTGGCTGGTGGGGTTTCTGGATCTGCTTTGGTCCTAGGGTTTGGAGACAGGGCCTAGGTATCGTCCTTGAGCTTCTTTTGCTCAAGGCTGGCATTCTACCACTTGAGTCACAGCACCACTTCTGGATTTTTCTGTTTATGTGGTATTGAGGAATCGAACCCAGTGCTTCATGCAAGCTAGACAAGCACTCTTATCACCAAGCCACATTCCCAGCCCCAGCACAATTTGTACTGAATTGCCTCTTTCTCTTTTTGGCCAGCAGATAGCAGCACAGTGATGTAAATGCAGACACTCTGTTGTACTGAAATAATTTCCAGCCTTAGGGTTCAATCTCAGGAGAGCAGCTGCCTGTGTTATTTTCTCTGGCAACGTCCAATTTTCCTTTGGATTTGGAAGATGGCAGACCAACAGCCCCTGGTCCCCACAGAGAAGGCCTTGATGTTGGACTCACAACCATTGGCATGAATGGAGGGCCCAGCCATAGGAACACTCTTGGAGATAGCCTGGGAACAGCTCTGCCACCTGTGTGGTAGAGGGGAATGGTGGGCAGGGAGACCTTCTTCATACCCTTGTCCTCTGAACTCTCCTCCTCCTCCTGTTCTTCTTCCAAGGGCACAAGGGTAAAAGAATGCAGGTCAAGGTCGTCAGCCTTTTTTTTTTTCTCCACTGGAGGGTATACTGGGGCCGGGAAAGGCACTTTGCTGAAGACCCCAGCTTGCCCCATCCCTGGTTGAGCTCAACTCCTGGGACACTGGTGGCACAGAAGCAGTTAAGTGGCCATTACATTATCAAAACTCCTCTTTGTCAAGGAGTCCCAAATATAACGGGTTTAATACTTCCTTGCACTCCCAATCATAGAGAATAGGAATGTTTGGGAACATGAGTGGAGAGCTCAGTCCCTTTCCAGTATTCTGAGAGAATCAACAGGGTGCTGGATGATGTCATCTCAGACGGCCCTTTCCTTCTAGTCAGCCATGAAGAACTTATTTAGGAGGTTTGTACTTGCCTGGTACATAATTCAGAAGCACAAACCATATGTGCTTGCACATGGAATTCATGCAAGGGGCGAACACCTGAGCATATTGCACAAAACCTCTTGCATAGTCTGTTGATGGCAGTACTGATGCAATCGTTGTTATAAGACATCCCAGGGCAGTGAAGGTCACAGAAATTAAGTGAGCTTTTGCCCTGGTTTGAATCGGATGCTTAGGCCAAAATCGCATCATTTTTCAGCTTCTATGTTGTTCAGCAAGATATTATCTGGTTTCAGATGCCTGAGGGTGATTTTACATGCACGCAGGTACTGGCATGTGCCTGTGATTTGACAATACAATCTTTGAGCCTTATTCTCCCCCAGGTACTTTTGGGCATTGATGGCATTTTTCAGGTTGCCATTAGTTGCATGTTGTGGGTTGAGGTATATGTTGTTGGAATCTTCTATGACATGATATAACCTGATGGCATTCTTGTGACACATTTTTTTTTTTTTATTCTGGCGCTTCAAATACCTGTGTTCATGAACTCTAATTTTTTTTTTGGTACTGATTTTGATGGCTGCAAGTGTTCTAGGAAGCTTATGTCAAAGGGAGTATTAACATTGATAAAGCCACCAGTCCTGATTTTTTCTAAAAGCCAGTAGTAGTGGTGAGCTGGCGGTTCCTTAGATTTTTTTTTTTTTCTTCCTCACTTGTAGGCTCAGGAGCAGCACAATATACAATGCCACATCAAGAAAAATTATAACTTGTTCTAAAATGCCCTTTTATAGTTAAAAATACCTATATTCAAAAAGTATTGGGGATTTGGCTAACGTCCTGAGACACCACCAGGAGGTTACATACATACACAGTTCCCAGACACCTTGATGGCGGAGAGGCCTATCAGATTGGATGCACCTGTCACCAAACTTCTTTCAAAATGGACAGATGAGGACCTATTGGGCAGAGGTGCAGAGGCTTCACCAAGGCTTCAGGGCAGGGGTCTAACAAATGAGAAAATGAACCCCAAGTAGTTTGTGGTGGGAGGTGATCTCCACATTTTCAAAGCCTACTGGGGCTTTCCATTCATGGAAAAACAAAGGCAAGACAAGGAAAGTGTCACATGATGTCACAGGTTGCATCTAGAGCCTGAATAATCAGGCTCCATTGGGAGGCAGAATTCCTGGGAGAGGTCTCCAACATGACCTTGTGGCCATGGAGAGCATAGGAATTTACCCATTGATGGAGCTCTGAAGTGTTTTCTTATCTCTGGGAACACAAAGGGAGTGGAAACTATGGTCAGGTCAGCCTCAGGAGGAAGGATCAGAGCCTATATAGGGTTCTCCATACCCTGGGGGAGATGGATTCCAGCTTTGCTCTCACCATTCCAGAGCCTCAGGACCCTGAACCTAAGGCTGAAGAATGAGGAAGGCCTCTTCTTCAGGGTCTGAAAAGGCTCCTTTGGAAAGAAAACCATCTCAGCTCTACTTTGTGACACTTGAATCCACAGAGAGTTGGGGACACAGAAGGGAATAAGACCCAGGCTAAAGGATGCCACAGGCTTCTGGGTCAGACAGTGGCAGGCAGGTGGAAACAGGGCTGCTCTTATTGGCCAGGCAGGTGCAGTGAAGGGCAGCCATCCTCTCAACAGGGGTTATGAGTGTAGACCTGCAAACTCAAGGGCTCTCAGTGCATGAACTTGCCCAATAGGTGGAAGAGTTTTGATGAAAAGGAATCCTTGCTGACCTCACTACTTCAAGTTGAATGTCTACCCTCTTCCAAATTATTTTCAGTACTTCAGTAGCCTTAATGTGACCTCACTTCTAATGAATGGCAAAGCAGCTCAAAGAAAGAACAGAGTAGAAAACAGAGTAGGAATGTCTTCAAGCCCTTAGTAACAGGACAGTTTGCTGTCAGGTTCTTTCATGCCTTTATTTTGCCTGTCCTGGGGCTTGAACTCAAGGCCTGGTCTCTGTTGCTGAATTTCTTTTGCTCAAGGCTAGCATTCTACCACTTGAGCCACAGTGCCACTTAATGGTTTTTTTCTGTTTATGTGGTATTGAAGAATTGAACCTAGGGCAGCATGCATGCTAGGCAAGCACTCTATCACTAAGCCACACTCCCAGCCCTCCTGCTGCTTTTCTTACACATAACACACTCAGATACACACAGAGTTGTGAGGATGGCTGGGTGCTCCACAGTTTAGGACATACTGTGAATCACAAATTTTCCTCTCCCTTCAAAACCAAGGTCAGAATTTTTAATAGCACCTTCCACACCAGCATCTTCCCTCTGCCTCTTTGTGGTAGATCCACACTTGGAAGTTAGTGACAATATACTTATCTCTCATTAAAGAAGTTGTTTCCTGTCTTTTCTCTATATGCATAAATGCTTGGCAGTTCACCATTCTTCCTGAAATAATATATTTGTGACGTTATATACATGGCATAAAAATAGAAATCACTCATCAATCATAAACTGTCACTATCTGTTCATGGCTCCCATACTCTGAGAGACGTAAATTCTAGGTGTAAGAAACCGGTCTTCTACGCAGCCTAGAACTTTTCCACAGACCTGTTTTCCTCCTGTTCCACTTTCCTATCCACACAGTTTCATGCTCTTATGATACAACCATGTATTTCTCCCATTCTCCTTTCCAGACAGAGTAGTCATTCCCAAAGTCACTGGTAACACATTGCCCTCTCCAGGGGGAAGTCACTGCACAGTTATGTGTTTTGCTTGGTTCAATGGATTGAACAGAAGAGAGTTGTTCTCAACAGTTTCCCACTCGTTCAGCAATTACTCGAGTGACTTTAATTGGGGGATCTGTTGGATGTGCAGGCTCTGCGGAGCTTTAGAGATGTTAATGAAGCAAACTCTTGTGGTACTGCTAAGGCCCAGACTTTCTGGGCATTATGGGGCCCTGAGAAATGGTTGTCCTCCCGAGGCTACAAGTGGGACAATGAGATAAGTTCCCAGTACAAGGGGGCAGGGGCTGTAAGGACTACCAGTGGTACCTACCTGTGGCCAGGGGATCTGAAAGGTCAATTAGATGATGGTTAGACCAATCCATGAATAGCCACATCTACTAGGAGCAAAAAGAGGTCCTTTAGAATGTTGCTGACAACCAAAGGAACGGGTGGGCTGTCACTAACCAATTCACTCCAGACCTAAAGAGAGTAGCCTGGACTTAGAACACATTAACCTCTTCCTTTCTCTTAAATGAACTTTTGACTATAAGCAGACTTTGAAGATAGAGCACTTCAGAGATTATTAAGTAGAAGTTCAGATATAATTTCCAGGGCAGTCAAGAATTTGGAATTCACTGGAGCAGAGACTGAATAGCCTCAGGGCCGTGTTCCAGCAGGTGGATGGCAGGTGGCCGGGCTCCTGGGTGTGGTGGGTGACACATGAGCTGCATTGGTGGGCAGGATGCTGTCACCTCTGGTCTTCCCAGCTCTGCTTTAGATGCTTGTTAGGTTCTAGATAGGACATTGGATGTGTGTGGGAGTGTGATTGAATCATCCCACAGCTAATTTTTGCATTGCGTACCAGTAGTTCTACAATTATGATTGATCACTTTAAAGGGACATTAAGAAAGGCATACATCCCTTCAAAGGGCAGTAGCACAGCTAGCCTGCTTTGCCCGTGTGGTGTGGCGTCTGTTTGCTTTGATCCTGGAATAATTTTCTTACTGAGCTGCCTTTTTCTCTTTTTGGCCGTCAGATAGAAGCATAGCGATGTGAACGCAGACACTGTTGAGCTGAGATAATTGTCAGCCTCAGGGCTTAACCTCAGGGGAGCAGCTGCCTGTGTTCTTATTTTCTTGGGCAACGTCCCAATTTCCTTTGGATTTGGAAGATGGCAGACCAACAGCTAGGCTGGCTTTGACCTGGTCCCCACAGACAAGGCCTTGATGTTGGGACTCAACCATTGGCATGAGTGGAGGGCCAGCCTTTGGAACACTCTTGGAGATAGCCTGGGAACAGCTCTGCCACCTATGTGGTAGAGGGGAATGGTGGGTAGGGAGACCTTCCTCATACCCTTGTCCTCTGAACTCTCCTCCTCCTCCTCCTCCTCTTCTTCCACGGGCACTAGGGTGAAAGGATGCAGGTCAAGGTCACTGTTCCTGCTATCCAGTGGACAGGGAAGGTAGGAGGGCATACTGGGGCCTGGCAAGGCACTTTGCTGAAGACCCTGGCTTCCTTTCCCTGGTTGAGCCCAACCCCTGGGACATGGATGACACAGAAGCAGCTAAGTAGCCATTGTATTATCAAAACTCCTCTTTGTCAAGGAGTCCCGGATGTCACGGGTGTAATACTTCCTTGCACTCCCCACCATATAGATTAGGAATATTTGGGAACATGAGTGGAGAGCTCAGTCCCTTTCCAGTATTCTGAGTGAATCGTCAAGGGTGCTGGATGATGTCATCTCAGATGGCCTTTTCCTTTTGGTCAGCTATTAAGAGCTTAATTAGGAGGTTTGCACTTCTGTAGTGTGTTAGTATACTGTTTGGAAGCACAAACCACATATACTTTCAGGTGGGTTTGAATTCATGGAAGGGGATGAGTCTTGCAAGCATTCTGTACAAGAGTACTTACATAATACTCTTAAGTGTTGTAGGTAGTCTTGTAAACATTCTTGTAAAACTTCTCTGGGCAGCAAATGTCTCTGTGTTTCAGAAGTTACTGCGCTTCTTCTACACTTGTTTTAAACCAGTGCTTAGTCCAAAATCGCATTTTTTTTGTTAGTGTTGCACCTTGAACTCATGACCTGGGCGCTGTCCCTGAGCCTCTCTGTGCTCAAGACTAGAGTGCTACCACTGGATCCACAGTGCTACAAACAGTTTTGAGTGGTTAATTGGAGATAAGAGTCTCCTGAGGACTTTTCTGCCAGGCTGGCTTCAAACCCCAATCCTCTGATCTTAGTCTCCTGAGTAGCTAGGATGACAGGCATAAGTCACCAAAGTCTGGCCACAATCACATATTATGACAACTTTGTGCTGTCTAGCAAGATATTCTGGGGTTTCAAATCTGAGTGGGTGATTTTATGCGCATGCAGGTACTGACACCCACTTGTGATTTGACAAAACAGTCTATGAGCCTTCTTGACTTTCAGGTACTTTTGGGCAGTATTGAAATTTTTCAGGTTGCCATTAGTTGCAGGTGCTGGCTTGGGGTGCATGTTGTTGGGATTTTCAATGGCATGATATAATCTGATGGTATTCTGGTGACACAATGTTTTCCTTATTCTGACCCTTGAAAGATCTGTGGATGATCTCTGATGTATTTTGAAAATGATTTTGATGGCTGCAGTCCTTCTAGGGGAGATTATGTTAAGGGGGTAATACATTGGAAAAGGCTCCTGTCCTGATGTTTTCCCAACTCCGGTAGTAGTTGGTGAGCTGGCTCTTCCTTAGGAGAGATTTTTATTCTTTCCCCGAGACTCTCATGTTCCCCTTGCTCACTTACAGGTTCTGGAGCAGCCAAAAATGCAATGGCACATCAGTAAAATGGCAACTGGCTATAAAGTTCTTTTATAGGTACAGATGCCTACATGAAAAACCCAAGGCTGGGTGTGTGGCTCAAGTCCTCAGGCCATGGGCATGCCCCATGCCCAGTTCCAAGGCTCTCTGAATGCTGTGGATGCCTTTGATTGATATATTTGTTATCAGACTTGTTAGAAAAGGACAGATGAGTACAGAATGGACAGTAGGTATAAGGCTATCCCAGGGCATCAGGACAGTGGTCTAACAAAGGGGAAAATGAATCCAAAAGACATTATGGGGAGGTAATCTCTACATTGTCAAAGCCTACTAGGGCTCTGTGACCTACATTACTGGAAGAAAGATAAAGGCAAGATAAGGAAATGTCACTTGAAGTAACTGGTTGGGTCTAGAGCATGGATGATCAGGCCCTACTGGGAGGAAGAACTTTTGGCAGAATATGTGTCCTGATTAGGACCTTGTGGCCCTGGAGAAAATAGTATTTCCTCAGACAGTGGGCTCTGGGAGCACTAATGGAGTGGAAGCTGTGGTCAGGTCAGCCTCAGATAGGAGGATGGATCAGAGCTGGAGTGGAGATCTCCATGCTCTGGGAAGATGAAACCCAGGTCTATTCACACCATTTCAGAGCCCCAGAATACTGAACTCCAGGCTGAAGACTCTGGGGAGGATGAGGAAGGCCACTTCTGCAGAGTCTGAAAAGGCCCTATATGGAAAGAAAACCATCTCAGCTCTACTTTGTGACACTTGAGTCCACAGAAAGTTGGGGACACAGAAGGGAATAAGACCCAGGCTGAAGGATGCCACAGGCTTCTGGGTCAGACAGTGGCAGGCAGGTGGAAACAGGGCTGCTCTTGTTGGATATGGGGTTGCAGTGACGTGCAGCCGAATTTACAAGGGTTAAAAGAACGTAGACATGAAAACTCAAGGGTTCTCAGTGCATGAAGTCTAGACTCTGCTCAATCATTTTGAATACTTCAATAGCCTTAACATGAACTCTTTTCTAACTAATGGCAAAATAGCCTAAAGAAGGAACAGAGTAGGAAACAGAGTAGAAATGTGCTCAAGCCCTTAGTAGAACGACAATCTACTTGTTTTCCTCTTGCTTTTCTTACACATAACACACACACTATTTTGTGGATGGTTGGGCGCTCTAGAGCTTAGGACATACTGTGAATCACAAATTTTCCTCTCTCTTCAAAACCAAGGTCAGAATTTTTACTAGCAATTTCCACACCAGCATCCTTCCTCTGCCTCTTTGTGGTAGATCCACACTTGGAAGTTAGTGACAATATACTTATCTCTCATTAAAGAAGTTGTTTCCTGTCTTTTCTCTATATGCATAAATGCTTGGCAGTTCACCATTCTTCCTGAAATAATATATTTGTGACGTTATATACATGGCATAAAAATAGAAATCACTCATCAATCATAAACTGTCACTATCTGTTCATGGCTCCCATACTCTGAGAGACGTAAATTCTAGGTGTAAGAAACCGGTCTTCTACGCAGCCTAGAACTTTTCCACAGACCTGTTTTCCTCCTGTTCCACTTTCCTATCCACACAGTTTCATGCTCTTATGATACAACCATGTATTTCTCCCATTCTCCTTTCCAGACAGAGTAGTCATTCCCAAAGTCACTGGTAACACATTGCCCTCTCCAGGGGGAAGTCACTGCACAGTTATGTGTTTTGCTTGGTTCAATGGATTGAACAGAAGAGGGTTGTTCTCAACAGTTTCCCACTCATTCAGCAATTACTCGAGTGACTTTAATTGGGGGATCTGTTGGATGTGCAGGCTCTGCGGAGCTTTAGAGATGTTAATGAAGCAAACTCTTGTGGTACTGCTAAGGCCCAGACTTTCTGGGCATTATGGGGCCCTGAGAAATGGTTGTCCTCCCGAGGCTACAAGTGGGACAATGAGATAAGTTCCCAGTACAAGGGGGTAGGGGCTGTAAGGACTACCAGTGGTACCTACCTGTGGCCAGGGGATCTGAAAGGTCAATTAGATGATGGTTAGACCAATCCATGAATAGCCACATCTACTAGGAGCAAAAAGAGGTCCTTTAGAATGTTGCTGACAACAAAAGGAACGGGTGGGCTGTCACTAACCAATTCACTCCAGACCTAAAGAGAGTAGCCTGGACTTAGAACACATTAACCTCTTCCTTTCTCTTAAATGAACTTTTGACTATAAGCAGACTTTGAAGATAGAGCACTTCAGAGATTATTAAGTAGAAGTTCAGATATAATTTCCAGGGCAGTCAAGAATTTGGAATTCACTGGAGCAGAGACTGAATAGCCTCAGGGCCGTGTTCCAGCAGGTGGATGGCAGGTGGCCGGGCTCCTGGGTATGGTGGGTGACACATGAGCTGCATTGGTAGGCAGGATGCTGTCACCTCTGGTCTTCCCAGCTCTGCTTTAGATGCTTGTTAGGTTCTAGATAGGACATTGGATGTGTGTGGGAGTGTGATTGAATCATCCCACAGCTAATTTTTGCATTGCGTACCAGTAGTTCTACAATTATGATTGATCACTTTAAAGGGACATTAAGAAAGGCATACATCCCTTCAAAGGGCAGTAGCACAGCTAGCCTGCTTTGCCCGTGTGGTGTGGCGTCTGTTTGCTTTGATCCTGGAATAATTTTCTTACTGAGCTGCCTTTTTCTCTTTTTGGCCGTCAGAAGCATAGCGATGTGAACGCAGACACTGTTGAGCTGAGATAATTGTCAGCCTCAGGGCTTAACCTCAGGGGAGCAGCTGCCTGTGTTCTTATTTTCTTGGGCAACGCCCAATTTTCCTTTGGATTTGGAAGATGGCAGACCAACAGCTAGGCTGGCTTTGACCTGGTCCCCACAGCCAAGGGCCTTGATGTTGGACTCACAACCATTGGCATGAGTGGAGGGCCCAGCCTTAGGAACACTCTTGGAGATAGCCTAGGAACAGCTCTGCCACCTGTGTGGTAGAGGGGAATGGTGGGTAGGGAGACCTTCCTCATACCCTTGTCCTCTGAACTCTCCTCCTCCTCCTCCTCCTCTTCTTCCACGGGCACTAGGGTGAAAGGATGCAGGTCAAGGTCACTGTTCCTCCTATCCAGTGGACAGGGAAGGTAGGAAGGTATACTGGGGCCTGGCAAGGCACTTTGCTGAAGACCCTGGCTTCCTTTCCCTGGTTGAGCCCAACCCCTGGGACATGGATGACACAGAAGCAGCTAAGTAGCCATTGTATTATCAAAACTCCTCTTTGTCAAGGAGTCCTGGATGACATGGGTCTAAAACCCCCTTACACTCCCCACCATATAGAGTAGGAATGTTTGGGAACATGAGTGGAGAGCTCAGTCCCCTCTAATATTCTGAGTGAATCGTCAAGGGTGCTGGATGATGTCACCTCAGATGGCCTTTTCCTTTTGGTCAGCTATTAAGAGCTTAATTAGGAGTTTTGCACTTCTGTAGTATATTAGTATACTGTTTGGAAGCACAAACCACGTATACTTTCAGGTGGGTTTGAATTCATGGAAGGGGATGAACCCTGTGAGCATTTTGTATAATAGATTTCACAAACTACTCGTAAGTGTTGTTGGCATCATTGTCGTAAGCATTCTTGTAAAACTTCTGCCTCTGTGTTGCAGAAATTGTTGAGGTTCTACTCTGGTTTTACCTGGTGCTTAGGCCAACATCATGTATTTTGATGGCTGCTGTGCTGTACTGCAAGATATTCTTGGGTTTCAGTTCTGAGTGGGTGATTTTATGCGCATGCAGGTACTGACACCTACTTGTGATTTGACAAAACAGTCTATGAGCCTTCTTGACTTTCAGGTACTTTTGGGCAGTATTGAAATTTTTCAGGTTGCCATTAGTTGCAGGTGCTGGCTTGGGGTGCATGTTGTTGGGATTTTCAATGGCATGATATAATCTGGTGGCACAATGTTTTCCTTATTCTGACCCTTGAAAGATCTGTGGATGATCTCTGATGTATTTTGAAAACGCTTTAAATGGTGATCAGAGTTCTAGGCAGCTTGGGTCAAGGGAGGAGGGTTCCATTGGAAAAGTTACCTGTCCTGATGTTTTCCCTACTCCAGTAGTAGTTGGTGAGCTGGCTCTTCCTTAGGAGAGATTTTTATTCTTTCCCGGAGACTCTCATGTTCCCCTGGCTCACTTACAGGTTCTGGAGCAGCCAAAAATGTACTGGCACATCAGTAAAATGGCAACTGACTATAAGGCCCTTTTATAGGTACAAATACCTACATGAAAAACCCAGGGCTAGGTGTGTGGCTCAAGTCCTCAGGCCCTGGGCATGCCCCATGCCCAGTTCCAAGGCACTCTGAATGCTGTGGATGCCTTTGATTGGATACATTTGTTATCAGACTTGTTAGAAAAGGACAGATGAACACAGAATGGACAGTAGGTATAAGGCTATCCCAGGGCATCAGGACAGTGGTCTAACAAAGGGGAAAATGAACCCAAAAGACATTATGGGGAGGTAATCTCTACATTATCAAAGCCTACTGGGGCTCTATGACCTACATTACTGGAAGCAAGATAAAGGCAAGACAAGGAAAGTGTTACTTGCCATCACAGGGTGAATCTAGAGCATGGATGATCAGGCCCTCCAGGAGGCAGAAATTCTAGCCGACTAAGTGTCCTGACTGGGGCCTTGTGGCCATGGAGGACATAGGAATTTGCACAGCGAAGAGGACTCCAAAGTGTTTTCTTCTCTCTGGAAGCACAAATGGTGTGGAAGCTGTGGTCAGGTCTGCCTCAGAAGGATGGATCAGACCCTGAGTGGGCCCTCCATGCCCTGGGGAAGATGGCCTCCAGCTCTGCTTACACGATTCCAGAGCCCCAGGCCCTTGAACTCCAGGGTGGTGGTTCTGTGAGGATGGGGGAGGCCTCTTCTTCAAGGTCTGAAAAGGGTCCTGTGGAAAATAAAGCATCTCAGCTCTACTTTGTGACACTTGGATCCATTGAGAGTTGGAGACCCAGAGGAGAATAAGACCCAGGCTAAAGGATGGCACAAGCTCCTGGGTCAGAGAATGGCAGGCAGGTGGAAATGGGGCTGCTCTTGTTGGACAGGCAGGTGCAGTGACAGGCAGCCATCTAGACATGCAAACTCAAGGGCTCTTGGTGCATGTATTTGTCCAGTATGTGGGAGAGTTTTTTGTTTTGGGGGGTTTGTGGTTTTTTTTTTTTTTTTTTTTGCCAGTCTTGGGGCTTGAACTCAATCCAGGGTTACTGTCCGTGAGCTTCTTTTTACTCAAGGCTAGCACTCTATCCCTTTGAGACACAGCATCACTTCTGGCTTTTTCTATTTTTGTGGTACTGAGGGATTAAACCCAGGGCTTCATGCATGCTAGGCAAGCACCCCACCACTTAGCCACATTCCCAGCCCAAGGTGGAAGAGTTTTGATGAAAACTAATCCTTGCTGACCTCAGAACTTCAATTTCAATGTCTAGACTCTTCCAAATGATTTTCAATACTTCAGTAGCCTTAACATGAACTCAACTTGTAATGAATGGCAGTGTAGCCCAAAGAAGAAACAGAGTAGAGAATTGAATCTTAGAACTGACAAGTTTAGGGCAATCCCTGAGACATGTGGAACAATAAACTATTTGTTTCAATCCTTGCATTTTTTTTTTTACAAACAACATATGCACACACATGTGTAAGGATGATGGCTGCTTCCTCAGTTTAGGGCACAATATGAATCACATAGTTTTCCCTTTCCCTAAAACCAAGGTCAGAAGCATATATGGCCCCTTCCACACTAGCCTCGTACCTCTTCCTCTTTTTGTGAGAGCCACAGTTGACAGTTAATGAACAGACGGTTACTGCTCATCAAAGGAGTCTTGTTTTGCCTTCCTGTTCATACATATATCATTTCCCCATTCCTCTCGCCCTCTTGAAACACATAATACATTTATGAATTTTTATACATTGTATAAAAAGGAAAATAGAAATTGCTCATCAATCATAAACGGTCATTATCTGGTCATGGCTCCCATACTCTACTTTGAGAAATGTAAATCGAAGTGTAAAACCCATGTCTGCCAAACAGCCTAGAGCTTTCCACAGACCTGTTTTCCTCCTGTTCTGCTTTCCTATCCACACACAAGGTACAACCATGTATTTCTCCCATTCTCCTTTCCAGGCAGGAAGAGAGGTCATTCCCGAAGCCACTTGTAACACGTTGTCCTCTCCATGGGGAAGTCTCTGAACAGTTAGGTGTTGTTTTAGATTCAGGGGATTGAACAGGAAAGAGTTGTCCTCAACCATTTCCCTTCCTGGTAGAGCATTTCCTTTTGTTCAGAAATTACTAGAGTGACTTAAATTAGGGGATTTGTTGGGTGTGCAGGCTGCACAGAGCACTGGAGATTTTAATGAGGCCCTTGTGGTACTGCTAAGGTCCAGAATTTCAGTGCTTTATGGGGTCCTGAGAAGGTTTTGTCCTCCTGAGGCTACACAGGGGACAATGAGATGAGTTCCCAGTACAAGGGAGCAGGGACTGTAAGGCCTACCTGTGGTACCCTGTGGTGGTGAATTCTTAAAGATCATTTAGATTCGGCCTCTCTATGAATATCTGTCAGCACTGGGACGCAATCCCTAATTAGGGATGCCTTAGCCCAGTTGTTGGCAACCCAAAGGAAAGGGCGGGCTGTTGCTAACCAATTCACTCCTGGCCTAAAGAGACCAGCCTGGATGTAGAATACATTGATTTTTTTTTTTCCTTTCTCCTGAATGGAGTTGTGACTGTAAGCAGTCTTTGAAGATAGAGGATTTGAGAGATTATTAAAAGTAGAAGTTCAGGTCTAGTTTCCAGGGTGGTTAAAAGTTTGGAATTGACTGGACTGGAGACTGAAGAGCCTCAGGACTGTGTTCCAGCAGGTGGTGGCAGGCAGCAGGAGATCTGGGTGGCGGGTGGCACATGAGATGCTTTGGTAGGCAGGGCGTTGCCGCCTGTGCCTGCTCTGCTTTAGATGGTGTTAGATTCCACCCTAGCAGATAGGGCAGCATTGTTCTTTCTGAGATATTAGCTATATGTCGGAGAGTGATTTAGCCATATCATACCCAGTCTTTCCCTTGCATACCAGTGGTTATGCAATTATGATTTGTCTATTGAAAGGGACACTAAACCATGTATAAATCCCATAACATGGCAGTTGTATACCTGCCTCATCTACCTGGTGGCTTCTGGATCTGCTTTGGTCCTAGAACAATTTTCTGACTGAATTGCCTTTTTCTCTTTTTGGCCGTCAGATAGCAGCACAGCAATGTGAATGCAGACACTCTGCTGTGCAGAAATAATTGTCAGCCTCAGGGCTTGACCTCAGGAGAGCCACGTCCAATTTCCCTTTGGATTTGGAAGATGGCAGACCAACAGCTAGGCTGGCTTTGGTCCCCACAGACAAAGCTTTGATGCTGGGCTCCATAACCATTGGCATGACTGGACGGCCAAACCTTATGAACGCTCTTGGAGATAGTCTGGAAATGGCCTTGCCACCGATGTGGTAGAGGGGAATGGAGGGCAGGGAGACGTTCCTCACACCCGTGTCCTCTGAGCTCTCCTCCTCCTCCTGCTCTTCTTCCAAGGGCACAAGGGTGAAAGAATGCAGGTCACGATCACTGGCCCTCTTTCTCCAGTGGACAGGGAAGGTAGGAGAGTATACTGGGACAAGCCAAGGAACTTTGTTGAAGACTCCAGCTTGCCATCCCTGGTAGAGCCCATTCCCTAGGACCTGGATGACACAGAAGCAGCTAAGTAGCCATTGTATTATCAAAACTCCTCTTTGTCAAGGAGTCCTGGATGACATGGGTCTAAAACCCCCTTACACTCCCCACCATATAGAGTAGGAATGTTTGGGAACATGAGTGGAGAGCTCAGTCCCCTTCTAATATTCTGAGTGAATCGTCAAGGGTGCTGGATGATGTCATCTCAGATGGCCTTTTCCTTTTGGTCAGCTATTAAGAGCTTAATTAGGAGGTTTGCACTTCTGTAGTGTGTTAGTATACTGTTTGGAAGCACAAACCACATATACTTTCAAAGGTGGGTTTGAATTCATGGGAGGGGATGAACCCTGTGAGCATTTTGTATAATAGATTTCACAAACTACTCGTAAGTGTTGTTGGCATCATTATTGTAAGCATTCTTCTAAAACTTCTCTGGGTAGCCAAGGTCACAGTGTTTCAGAAATTGGTGAATTCTACCCTGGTTTTAACCTGGTTCCTAGGCTAAAAAATCACACAGCCTCTGTCCTGTCCAACAAGATATTCTGGGGTTTCAGATCCCAGTGGGTGATTAAGCGCATGCTGGTACTGAGAAGCTCTTGTAATTTGACAAAAGTATCTGGGAGCCCCTTCTTTTCTAGGTAGTCTTGGGCAGTGATGGTATTTTTCAGGATGCCCTTCAGTGTAAGTCCTCGGTTGAGGTGTATGTTGTTGGAATTTTCTATGACATTATAGAACCTGATGCTATTCTGGTGATACAATGGTTTTCTTATTCTGGCCCATGAAAGATCTGTGGATGATCTCTGATGTATTTTGAAAACGATTTTAGTGGCTGCAATAGTTCTAGAGAGCAGATATTCTTGATGAAGAGGCTGTCCCTAAAAGTTTTTTTGTCTTTCCCTGAGCCCCTCATGGTCCCCTTCCTCACTTGTAGGCTCAGAAGCAGCACAAAAGACAATGCCATATTAATAAATATTACAACTGTCTCTTAGGTCTTTTTATAGTGATAAATACCTACATCGAAAACCCAGACCTGGCGTTGTGGCTCAAGACCCTGAAGCACCACGGAGAGGCTGCATGCACAGTTTCCAGATACTCTGAAAGCTGTGGATGCTTCTCTCAGACTGGATGCTCCTGTCATCAGACTGCTTAGAAAAGTACAGGATACGGACATATTTCCCCCAGGACATCAGGGCAGGGATCTAACAAAGGGGAAAATGAACCTAAAAGACATTATGTGGAAGGAGGTGATAGCCACATTGTCAAAGCCTACTGGTGGTGCTCTGTGACCTACATTACCCGAAGAAAGACAAAGGCAAGACAAGGAAAGTGTCACGTGACAACACAGGGTAGGTCTAGAACACATATGAGGCAGAAATTCTAGCCGACTAGGTGTCCTGACTGGGGCCTTGTGGCCATGGAGGACATAGGAATTTGCACAGGGAAGGGGACTCCGAAGTGTTTCCTTCTCTCTGGAAGCACAAATGGTGTGGAAGCTGTGGTCAGGTCAGCCTCAGATAGGAGGCTGGATCAGAGCCTGAGTGGGCCCTCCATGCCCTGGGGAAGACGGATTCTAGCTCTGCTCACACGATTCCAGAGCCCCAGGACCTTGAACTCCAGGCTGGTGGTTCTAGGAGGATGAGGGAGGCCTCTTCTTCAGGGTCTGAAAAGGATCCTGTGGAAAAGAAAGCATCTCAGCTCTACTTTGTGACACTTGGATCCATTGAGAGTTGGAGACACAGAGGAGAAGACGACCCAGGCTAAAGGATGCCACATACAAGGGCAGGCAGGTGGAAATGGGGCTGCTCTTGTTGGACAGGCAGGTGCAGTGACGGGCAGCCATCTTCACAACAAGGGTTATGAGTGTAGACATGCAAACTCAAGCTCTCTCAGTGCATGAACTTGCCCAATAGGTGGAAGACTTTTGCTGAACAGTAAACCTTGCTGTCTACACAACTCCAAGTTCACTGTCTAGACTCTGGATTTATTTTGAATACTTCTGTAGCCTTATCATGAACTCACTTCCAAGGAATATGAAAGCAGCTCAAAGAACAGAGTAGAAAACTGAGTAGAAATGTGCGTCAGTACATAATAGTGAAATTATCTGATACTTGATTGCTTCCACCCTTACGTTTTTTACACACAACCAACCCACATTTGTACACACACACATGTAAGGAAATTGGGCTCCTCTCAGTTTAGGACATATGATGGGTCACTTAGTTTCCTCTTCTTTCAAAACCACTGTAGAGCCTCTAATAGCCCCTACCACACCAGACTCATCTCTCTTCCTCTTTGTGGTAGATCTACACTGGGGAGTTAGTTAGAAGATACTTACCTCTGACCAAAGTAATCTTTTCTTCCCTTCCTTATTCACACATAGATGCTCATTATTTTGTTAGTCCCCTGGACCTCTTGAAACTGAGCATGCATTTCTGAATTTACATACATTATAGAAAAAGGAATATCTCTCCTCAATCATGAACTGTCCCTATCTGTTCATGGCTCCCATACTATGAGAAAATATACTCTGGCAAACTATGAACCTTGAGTGTAAGAACTATGCCTGCCAAGCAGCCTAGAGCTTTCCGCAGGCCTGTTTTCCTCCTGTTCTGCTTTCCTATCCACACAATTTCATGCTCTTAGGATACATCCATGTATTTCTCTGATTCTCCTTTCCAGACAGGGAGAGAAGTCATTCCCAAAGCCACTGATAACACGTTGTCCTCTCCATGGGGAAGTCTCTGAACAGTTAAGGGTTTTGTTCGGTTCAAGGGACTGAACAGGAGAGAGTTGTCCTCAGCCATTTCCCTTCCTGGTAGAACATATTTTTTGCTCAGAAATTACTCGAGTGACTCAGACCGTGGGACCTGTTGGGTGTATGGATACTAAACAAAACTCCGGGATTGTTAATGAAGCCAACCCTTGTGGGTACTGCTAAGGTCCAGAATTTCAGGGCTTTATGGGGTCCTGAGAAGGTTTTGTCCTCCTGAGGCTACACAGGGGACAATGAGATGAGTTCCCAGTACAAGGGAGCAGGGACTGTAAGGCCTACCTGTGGTACCCTGTGGTGGTGAATTCTTAAAGATCATTTAGATTCGGCCTCTCTATGAATATCTGTCAGCACTGGGATGCAATCCCTAATTAGGGATGCCTTAGCCCAGTTGTTGGCAACCCAAAGGAAAGGGCGGGCTGTTGCTAACCAATTCACTCCTGGCCTAAAGAGACCAGCCTGGATGTAGAATACATTGATTTTTTTTTTTTTCCTTTCTCCTGAATGAACTTGTGACTGTAAGCAGTCTTTGAAGATAGAGGATTTGAAAGATTATTAAAAGTAGAAGTTCAGGTCTAGTTTCCAGGGTGGTTAAAAGTTTGGAATTGACTGGACTGGAGACTGAAGAGCCTCAGGACTGTGTTCCAGCAGGTGGTGGCAGGCAGCAGGAGATCTGGGTGGCGGGTGGCACATGAGATGCTTTGGTAGGCAGGGCGTTGCCGCCTGTGCCTGCTCTGCTTTAGATGGTGTTAGATTCCACCTTAGCAGATAGGGCAGCATTGTTCTTTCTGAGATATTAGCTATATGTCGGAGAGTGATTTAGCCATATCATACCCAGTCTTTCCCTTGCATACCAGTGGTTATGCAATTATGATTTGTCTATTGAAAGGGACACTAAACCATGTATAAATCCCATAACATGGCAGTTGTATACCTGCCTCATCTACCTGGTGGCTTCTGGATCTGCTTTGGTCCTAGAACAATTTTCTGACTGAATTGCCTTTTTCTCTTTTTGGCCGTCAGATAGCAGCACAGCAATGTGAATGCAGACACTCTGCTGTGCAGAAATAATTGTCAGCCTCAGGGCTTGACCTCAGGAGAGCCACGTCCAATTTCCCTTTGGATTTGGAAGATGGCAGACCAACAGCTAGGCTGGCTTTGGTCCCCACAGACAAAGCTTTGATGCTGGGCTCCATAACCATTGGCATGACTGGACGGCCAAACCTTATGAACGCTCTTGGAGATAGTCTGGAAATGGCCTTGCCGCCGATGTGGTAGAGGGGAATGGAGGGCAGGGAGACATTCCTCACACCCGTGTCCTCTGAGCTCTCCTCCTCCTCCTGCTCTTCTTCCAAGGGCACAAGAGTGAAAGAATGCAGGTCACGATCACTGGCCCTCTTTCTCCGGTGGACAGGGAAGGTAGGAGGGTATACTGGGACCAGCCAAAGCACTTTGCTTGAAGACCCTGGCTTATCCTTCCTGGTAGAGCCCAACCCCTGGGACCTGGATGACACAGAAGCAGCTAAGTAGCCATTGTATTATCAAAACTCCTCTTTGTCAAGGAGTCCTGGATGTCATGGGTCTAGAACCCCCTTACACTCCCCACCATATAGAGTAGGAATGTTTGGGAACATGAGTGGAGAGCTCAGTCCCCTTCTAATATTCTGAGCGAATCATCAAGGGTACAGGATGATGTCATCTCAGGTGGCCCTTTCCTTCCAGTCAGCCATGAAGTGCTTATTTAGGAGGTTTGCACTTCTGTAATGTTAGTTTGGAAGCACAAACGATATGTGTTTCCAAGTGGAAGCAGTAAAACCCCTCAAGCCAATTGCAGAAAGCCACTAACATACTCTTATGTGTTGATGGCCACGTGGAGGGAACCATTGTCATAAGACATTGTGGGGCAACTAAGGTCACAATGCTGCAGAAATTGGAGAGCTTGTGCCCTGCTTTGAATCGGGTGCTTAGGCCACATCACATATTTGGAGAGCTTGTGTGATATCCAGCATGATATTCTGGGGTTTCAGATTCCAGTGGGTGAGTGTCTGTGCAGGCAGGTACTGGCATACACTTGAGATTTGACAAAACACTCTGTAGGCCCTCGTCTCTTCCAAGTTCTTTTGGGCAAGTGATGGCCTTTTTTTGTTTTAGGTTGCGTTAGTTGGGTGTCCTTGGTTGACATACACGTTATTGGATTTTTCTGTGACAACGTTTACAGTTTGATGATAATTCTGGTGATCCAATGTTTTTCTTATTCTGGCCCCTGAAAGATCTGTGGCTAATGTCTGATAATTTTTGGAAGCTACTTTGCTGGCCACATGCATTCGAGCCACCTGTCCTGATGTTTTCCAAAACCCAGTAATGGTTGGCAAGATAGCTGTTCATTAGGAGATTTTATTTTATTTTTTCTGAAGGTCCCTCAGGTTCCCTCTTCTCACTGTAGGATCTGGAGCAGCACAAAATACAATGTCACATCGATAAATATTACGACTGGTCCTCACAGGACCTTTTTTATAGTTAGAAATACCTCCATTAAGGAAACAGAGCTGAGGGTGTGGCTCAAGTCCTGAGGCTCCATGGGGGAGGCTCCTTGCACTATTCCCAGACCCTTTGAAAGCTGGGGAGACCTCTCTCAGACTGGATTAGCTTGTCATCAGACACCGTAGAAAAGGCTAGATGAGGCTAGATTGGGCAGCAGGGAAGGAGACTGCAAGGGAGGTGTCTGTCTAATGTGAAAATGAACCCCAAGGAGGGTGGGGGCGGGGAGGTGATCTCTACCTTGTCAAAGCCTGTTGGGGGTCCTGTGACCTACATTCATGGAAGCAAGGACGGGGTGGGTCTAGAGCACCATGGATGATGAGGCCCTACTGGGAGACAGAACTTCTGGCAGAACAGGCGTCCTGACTGGGGCCTGTGGCCATGGAGGACATGGGAATTTACCCATTGATGGAGCTCTGAAGTGTTTCCTTCAGAGGGAGTGGAAGCTGTGATGGGGTCAGTCTCAGACAGGAGGATGGATCCAGAGCCTAAACAGGGTGCTCCATGCCTTGGAGAAGTTGGACTCCAGCTCTGTTCACAGTGTTCTAGGACCTCAGGACCCTGAACCCCAAGCTGATGGGTCTGAGGGGATGAGGCAGGCCTCTTCTTCGGGGTCTGAAAAGGGCTCTGTGGAAAGAAAACCATCTCAGCTCTACCTTGTGACACTTGGATCCATTGAGAGTTGGGGACACAGAAGGGAATAAGACCCAGACTAAAGGAGGCCACAGGCTCCTGGGTCAGACAGTGGCAGGCAGATAAAAATAGGGCTGCTCTTGTTGGACAGGCAGATACAGTAACAGGCAGCCATCCTCATAACAAGGGTTATTAGTGTAGACCTGCAAACTCAAGGGCTCTCAGTGCATGAACTTGCCCAATAGGTGGAAGAGTTTTGTGGAAAATTAGTCCTTGCTGATGATGTCGTAACTTCAGATTCTTCTAGACTCTTCCAAATTATTTTGAATACTTCTGTACCCTTACCTTGAACTCACTTCCAATGAATTGCAAAGTAGCCCAAAGAAGGAGCAGAGTAGAGAACTGAGTCGAAATGTGCTTAAGCTCTAAGGAGCAGGATCATCTGTCCCCAATTTGTTTCTACCCCTGCTTTTCATACATACAACACACCAAAAGTACGCACACACATGTACAGGGTGGTTGGCTGCTCACTTGGTTTAGTACATCTTCCTAAAGATCTTCCAAAATTTAGCTCAAGCTCCCAATAGATTCTTCCACACTAACCTCCTCCCTCTTCTTTTTTGGTGGATCCGTACTTGGGATTCAGTGAGCAGACACTTGTCTCTCATAAAAGGATTCTTGTCTTGGTTTGCCTGTTCACAAATAATTGCTCATCATTTCTTTATCTGGCCTTCTGAAATGGAATAGATATGTACGTTTATTTATGAATTGAAATACATTCTATAAAAAGGAAAATAGCAATCACTCTTCATCAATCATGAACTGTCACTATCTGTTCATGGTTGGCATACTAGAGAAAATACACTGTGAAAAAAATATGAATGTAAACATAAAAACAATATAAATAAAAATAAACGAAAAAAAATAGAAATATGTAAGCATAAAAACGATGTCTACCAACCAGCCTAGAGCTTTCCACAGACCTGTTTTCCTCCTGTTCTGCTTTCCTATCCACACAATTTCATGCTTTTATGATACAACCATGTATTTCTCCCATTCTCCTTTCCAGACAGGAAGAGAGGTCATTCCCAAAGCCACTGGTAACACGTTGTCTTCTCCATGGGGAAGTCACTGCACAGTTAGGTGTTTTGTTAGGTTCAGGGATTGAGCAGGAGAGGGTTGTCCTCAGCCATTTCCCTCCCTGGTAGAACTTTTATTTATTTATTTATTTTTTGCTCAGAAATTACTCGAGTGACTCAGGCCGTGGGATCTGTTGGGTGTGTGTACGCTAAACCAAGCTCTGGAGTTGTTAACGAGGCCAAGCCTTGTGCGTACTGCTAAGGTCCAGCATTTCAGGGCATTATGGAGTCCTGAGAAGGTTTGTCCTCCTGAGGGTACAAGTGGGACCATGAGATAAGTTCCCAGTGCAAGGGATCAGGGCCTGTAAGGCCTACCTGTGGTACCTGTGGCGGGGGGATCTGAAAGGTCATTTAGATGGTTAGACCTGTACATGAAAATCTGTATCTAGTAGGAGCAATGAGGGATGCCTGAGCCCAGTTGTTGGCAACCCAAAGGAAAGGGTGGGCTGTTGCTAGCCAATTCATTCCTGACCTAAAGAGACCAGCCTGGATGTAGAATACATTAACCTCTTCCTTTCTCCTATATGAATAACAGCACTGTAAGCAGTCTTTGAGGACAGAAGATTCAGAGATTAAGTAGAAGTTCAGGGTAATCAAGAATTTGGAATTCACAGGAGCGGAGACTGAATAGCCTTTTGGGCTGTGTTCCAGCAAGTGGTGGCAGGCAGCAGGAGTCCTGGGTGGAATGTGACACATGAGATACATTGGTGGACAGATACCTGATCTTCCTACTCTGCTTTAAAGTTGTTGTGAGAGTCCACGTTAGCAGATGAAGCCTGATTATACTTTCTGAGGCTTTGGATGCACGCAGGAGAATGATTTCATCATGCCACCTTGAAACTTCCCCTTGCATACCAGTAGTTGTACAATTATGATTTGTCAGTTGAAAGGGACATTATACATGCCATCACATGGCAGTGGCACAGCTGTCCGGCCTCACCCACTTGGTAATGTCATTGTTCACTTTGTATCCTGGAACAAGTTCGTCTGGTAGTGGTCTTTCTCATGAGTGGCTAATAGCAACACAAGGACCAGAGAGCAGAGACTCTCTTCTCCTTAATTAGCTTGCATCTCAGAGGTGATCTCCACTCTGGGAGGTTACTGTGGTCTTGCCAACAGCTTTTCCCCCCAGGGTGCTATCTATCCATATCTGCCGTCTTCTTCACACTGTGTTTCCCGCAGAGGTTTCGAGGACACTGTCACATTGTTCAAGGATGACGGAATGCTCTTTTGAATTAAGAGTCTCTGTTTTACTCTAGCGTCTGTATCCTTACACAGGAGGAGGTTGGGAGAGTCTTTGTGTGGAGAATACGCTGTCTCCTTCTCACATGACATGGTTTTGCATGTCTTCAGATGGTGGTAGGGGCAGAAGGACTGGGCTCACTCCCTCAGGTCCATTTCTAAGGGTACGCAAGTCGACCTTGGGGGCAGGATCTCATGACCCCTTTACTTCTCAAAGGCCCCCAAGTCTTAAGACTGGTGCATTGGGGTTAAAGCTTCCACAGGCACTTTGAAGGGAGCTAACTCTCAAATGATGGCACCTCACGAAGAAGAGTGCTTCCCTCCTGGTCTGGCCTGGCCTGTATGTTGAGCATCCTAAGCTCTTAGTGGGTTGCTTGAGGTCCCGCTGGCCTGCATGGATCCTATCCTTTCCATCTCCTTGGTCACCACCAAGCAACTACACATTTGAAATGGGCCAGGGGTGAGGGGAGGGAGGGCATCTTCGTGTCTCCTTTATCCATTAACTTTCCCTCTTGGGTAGCATCCTCCATATGTCTGAGGTTCATGGGGGCTCTTTGCCCTTGGTCTGCCCACTCTCGGCCAAGAACCAAGTCCTCAGGGCTGCCATACCAAGTGGGATTAGGGGAGTGCATGTGGAAGAAGCTCAGTGTTTGTGCTTTCCTCCAACGATAAGAACAAGATGAGAGCAAGAAACTCTTCAGCCAGGATAGGGCTGAGAAGAGGCAGCTCAGGGCTGCGTCTGACCTCATAGGCCGTGGGATCCTCATCAGCAAAAAAAACCCCTAGGGACACGAGGAGTGTGGGAGTCTTGTCAGGCAAGAACATTTCTTTGGCTTTGTGGTGTT